GATAGTACTAGGTCTACAAAAAGTGATAGTACTAGGTCTACAGGGCGTAACTAGCAGCAGCAAGAGCTACCGTAGATATGACTGCAACAGCAGCAGCTACTAGTATGGTTTTATCTTCACGTGCAAACAACGTGTTAAAATTAGCTTTTTACCTAAAATCAGATTGGAAGCAAACTGGAGACCAAAATACTGATTTACKGAGCTTCCTGGTACAAAACGCTTGTAGAAATCCTGTAGAAAATTCAAAATCAAGGGGGTATACTGTCCATTTTGCTCAAAATGGAAGGGTTTTGATTCCGCGTTCAAAATCATACTGTGTCTTACTGTCTTTGCCTGAAATTCCCTCCAGCACGCTGATACACAGTGTGCGTGCTAATTTACTAGGGTGGGTTTTTATCTTCACGCGCAAATGCCGTGTTAAAATTAGCTTTTTACCTAAAATCAGCTTACTGGATGGAAACACACACCATGAGCAATAGCATGCACTGAGACCTCCAGAACAGCAACAGTGGTGCAACTYGTAGGAATAGAGCTGTTGCAATGCCGGTCAGCAAAGAGAGGGCATGGCGCGTTCCCTTGCYAGAGGAGATCCATCCCATTTTGTTTAGGCTACTACGTGTATCGAACATCGTAGTCGACRTGATACAGTCCCMCTTCTTCCTCAAGCTTCAGCTGAGTAATTACTGCCACAGCTGCAAAGCACATTCCGTGCTTTCCTATCATGTCGTTCCTGTCCCTCCCTTCCGTGTGATGGAATGCAGCATTCAATACATTAAAGATCTTTAGTCTTCCATTGATATTTTCATGCCGACCCCTAATGATCGACTTTTCTTTTCTTTGCTTGCTGTCGATCCCCTGGTTTGGGGTCTTTCCCTTTATTGTTCCCCTCAGTCCACTATCAGCTTCTACCATTTCCCAGTCCTCGAGTCGCAATGCAAGCTCTCTGTCAAAAATTCCTTTCTCAGAAGTGCCACCRGGGAAGGGACCATTGATCCAGACAATATAACTGGTTTCAATGCAAATCMCGACTTCATATCTTATTGCTGGACCATTGAACTTCTCTGAATACATGTCAGTACTAAATGGATACGGTTCATAGCAGGGGCAGTCAGTCCAGTCGACAGATATCATGCAATCTGCCTGTGGCAAGTACTCCCCACCAGTTGCCGATTGAGGTTGACCAAGGAATCTATTCTCCCATACGATAACTTGCTCTTGCAGCTCAAAGATCTTTCTAACAAAATACCATGACCATTTACGAAAGGTTTCCCTATGAGGCCAGCCGACTACAGCGCAATGGATCTCTTCCRACGTGGCGTACACTTTCAGGAATAGCAGGGCCCACAATAGATGTTTGGGTTCTGCTCCTGCTGCTGGTGATTCATCACMAAGCTGCTCTATGCGATTCCACAAATTAGCAATGACTGAGCTCGATGCTCCAAACAGACTAGCTATACGATCTTTTTCATGCTTACTACTCCATTGTCTATGATCTGGCCATCTAACGGTCTCTCGGATGATATTATCAATTGTTTCTGCATCCATTGAGCTTGCTGTTTTGTGTTGCTGTTGTTGCTGTT